GGAAAGAACGGAAATATAAATACTAATAAGTGGTTCGATCTGTTGCAGATAATCAGAAATTAGACGGCAGCGAATACCCTGAGTGTCTCACCGAGCCGGGATCTCGAGACTTCACATGCAACCGGTTACTACGAGGCTTTCCTATTCTGCGCAATTCCATTCCTGATTTGAGTAAAGTTAAGCCCAAAACAAATACATACAACACACCGAGTAATGTCATCCAAAAGAGGGAGGTGCGTAGTGCGCTTCTGTTTGTGTGTGAAACTTAGTGTCTGCCATGAAGGGAGGATCACAGAATTAAGTGATCTGAGAACTGGGTACTGAGGACAATAATTGGACCGAAGAGAGACAAAATGAGAAGAAGCTGGGGAAAACTGCATAACGAGGAGCATCATAATTTCTGCTCTTCTCCAAATTATAATGATTAAGTGAAGGAGGATGGGATGGGCTGGGGATGTAGCAAAAATGGGGAGAAGAGGAATTCATTTAGGATATTATTGGGAATGCCAGAAGGAAAGAGACCACTAGGAAGAAAAAGAGGTAGGTGTGTGGACAATATTGAAATAAATCCCAGGGAAGAGGATGGGAGCTATGGATTTGATCCATGTGGCTCAGGATAGAGGAACAGTTAGTACATTGCTCTTGTGAACACGGTAATGAACATTCGGGTTCTACATAATGTTGGGAAGTTTTGGAGTAGCTGCACAATTGGCGGATTTTCAAGGAACGCTGAGCTCAGTAAGTAATAATAACAACTACATGGAGCACAGCAGTTCTCGAAAAGCCGTCAGTTGTGCAACTAATAAACAATTTTCCAAAACGTTATTGACCCCAATCATTTACTTTTGTTTCCGCAAGAGCCCTCCAGTGTACCATACCCTACCCACGACCACCATATCCTGTCTCTCTTGGATTCATTTTAATATTTCCACTCAACAGCGTCTAGGTCTCTCTGACGATCTCTCTTCCTCTGCTTACCCTGCGAACAATTTATATGAAATCCAATTAACTAACACGTGTCCTATATGCCCCGCCCTCCACGTCCTCCTTCACTCAATCATTCTAAACACCTAGAGGCCTATATTAAAGCAAAATTGAAAAGTAACGACGTTAAAGCATCTATTTTTTAGGACATTTTGGATAGGAAAACGTATCTTAAAATATTTACCTGTACGCACTTTACTACAGGTTTCACTAAAACAATTCAGTCAGCCTAAATAAATCCAAGTGAACTCCGAAATCTGTGAGAAAATTATGCAAAATTTACCAACTAATCCGCGGGGTTTCTAGCTGACATACAGTCTCATCGCATCCAAATTATATTCTGGTATGTGATGAATGCAATATAGCTGATTGCTATTTGGCCTGCTGTGCATTATAATAATAATAAAAATAAATAATACAAAAACTAATAATCACATAAACAGGAAGAGAAAGAAAGAAATTATGAAATTTCAAAGGGATGCCATAGATGACAAGAGGATAAGCAAAAGAAAAGACGAAAATAAGGAAAAGTCAATGGACAGAATATTTTATTTAAGTGCCTTCTCCAAATTTCTATTTCCCATTAACTCTTGATCTCAAACCCTTCCCCCTCTCACTTAAACATAAATACGGCGCTTAAGTCTTCTGGTGTCGTTCATTTCGGAGATCAAGGAAAATATAATTACTAATAGGTTCCTCGGTCTCTTACAGAAATTCCGACAACAATTCGCCCGATGATATCTACACCGCCAGCGAATGCCACGAGACTGTCTTCGAAGTCAGAATCTGGGGGCTTCAGGAGCACACTGCAAACTGTATGCACTCATATGAAGATGTGTCCTTTGGAGTGTACCGGGATATACTGCGCTGCTACTATATATATATATTCATGGAACCTGGTGAAGTTAGCCTCGAATGAACGGTCCGATTTTAGCGGTTAATGATACCCTTGGTGCGGAAATATGAACCTACTCTATATGAAATGCTTCAATC